ATGAGACTTTTTTTTTGTCCCAGAAATTAAATTTGTCCATCAGCTTCCCTGCATCTCAGAGGAACTGAAATCTAGCTGAAATACCACCTAATACAAGAATACACAGTTCACATATAAAATATGAGGTATAGGCACTAATTTATATTGGTGACTCAAAAAAAAACCCAGAAAAAAACTCATATCCAAGAGAAAGTAGGCCTTTATCTTTGCAGGTACTACCATTATACACTTCTTGGCAGTTTTTTTCCCCATCTTCACTGTTCAAATATTCCATTCTTAAAGAATATGGTCTAGGTTGTCTCTTGCCTTTTGTGATTTTTAATAGCTGTACGACTGCCAAGGATGTACATATGCCAGGGTTGCTAGGCAGCTGACATTTTTCTACCACCCCCCATGTATTCTACAGACACCACCTCCTCCTTCTGCTCATTGGTGAAGATTATCAAATATCTCTAAGAGGTCAGAATGGAAAATGTCTTTCAGGAAACTAAAATATAGTATGTAGTATAAGCATTGACAATGGCAATCATTTGCTTGAAAATGGTTGCTTAAAAATACAAGAATTCTATATAAAAGCCTTCACTGAAGCATATTTTCATAACACTTCCCTCCTATGAATATAATGTAATTTATTTTTCACAATTATTTCAATTAATATTATTGCTACTGCTATCTAACAAAACTGCTAATGGTGATAAACCATCTCCACTAATTACCCATCACTCAGATTAATGAATGAAAACAGTCACTGATGGGATGACCCACTTTAGAGAAATGAACAGCTATAGTTCTGCCCATTAGCCACTCAATCCTGTAATATTACCTCAATTAACAGTTATATTATATTGAGCAGCTTCATAGCTATGTCTTCAGACCCTTTGAATATGACAGACTTTATTGGATATTTAATAAGCAAGATAATTATTTATGCAAGGAAACAAACAAAATTCAGACTCCATGTTTTTCAAAAGCATACCTTTGAAAAGAAAAATTAGTCTTATACATTTGTTTTCACTTAATATTATTTCAGTGTTTCAGTTCAAAACCATTTTCTATATTTAAGCTTAGATGCCTTTGTGTTTGACAATATAGACAGAATAAAAATATTATTTATAACCATTTATCTCTACTAGATGCTCATGTGATGTTGTATTTCAAGACATAATGAACAATTCATCATGTTTTGAAGATTTTATAAAATCAAACCTTATCCATGCATGCAGCAAAAAAAGCAAAGGGGTCATAGCTGCCTTTAGAAAGTATCTTGGCTGTGATGAGTGGCTATAAAAATTTGAATAAAATTTGAATTATTTTAATTATAAAATAAATGCATATATATGCTTTCTGATAATTAAAAAAAGGCTTGCTGACCACCCAGCCAAATAGGAGAAACAAATGAGCTTATGAAGTGATAATGCTGCAATGACATCTCTATGTTAAAAAAAATCCACTTTTCTAATTTCAGAAACTCTACATTAGAAATGATGAGCTGCAAATGTTTTGGGTACTCAAATGTATTGGATTCACAGCCGGGGATCATTAAGATAAAACCCTTTTTGTACATCTCAAACTTACCATCTTGCCATCTATTATAACAATTATTATGCTGAATCTTGATATATTATTGCACTACAATCATATCCAAAGTTAGTTCTATCCAGCATTAAACTATTTTACCTGTGAATGCCACCCCTTTTAATCTAACTTCCAGTTGCTGGATTTTGAACAGTATTCTAATATAGCCAAATTCCCTAGATTCTTTCTTCCTATGTGAGACAGAGCTGTTGTTATTATGGAATAAAGTAATCATCATGATGATGTAGTCTAGGGAGGATTGTATCCACTTTGCACATGAAAACTCCCAGTAGTAAAAATAAGACATATGGGGAGAAGTCAATGACCATAGGCCTGAGTAAATTCTAGAAAGCTGCTGCAATTCAGACTAGATAAACCAGTGGCATAAATGTTCCTGGACCTGAAGCATACTTAACCAAAACCACAGTCAACTAAATTACACATTTGATGACTTGAGCTTTATACACAAGTTTACTTTGATTCAATATGTCCATGATTAATAGCACAAAGATATCACAAAGCAAAAACTGGGCTTTTGTTACTGCCTTGCTAATTGTAGATCATGAATCAATTATTGCAAATAAGATTCAGTAAGTTAATACAGCGTTGTACTGCGTTGTACACTGTCTGGGTGGAGGAATTTAAATTTAATTTCTATTATTCTTAAGTGGGATACATTTCATATTATCCCCGGGTAGGTGAATACACAGACAAAATTCAAGAGTAAAATCTTCAAGATAGTTCAACTGGCTTAATTTCGAGAGCTTTGATTATGACCTGGCTTTAGAACAGGGGAATAAAGTGAGTTTCCTATTCCAGTTTATTTTAATGTTCTTTTTAAAAGGAACACACCCCGAGTGATTAGCAACCATTTGAAGGAACATATCTTTTACGCCCAAGTTGCAATTTATGCACTAACTATATTAGAACAAATAAATCATGGATCAAAAGTGTGAGAGGCAGATAAATTCCCCACTCACCCCACCCCATTTTACAGTAAAGACATTTTAAATTCCCTGGATAACATTTTAGTAAGACAAATAAATTGCTTTTATGACTTATTTTATTTTTTAAATACATTTCCCCTCTCTTCATGAGTGTATGTCTGTGTGTCTGTGTTATATAAATATAAAAACCATTGCTTGAAATCATCAGAAACAGGGTACCACCACCATATTGGTACATACTAAAAGGAGGTACTTTCCACAGTTTCCCTTTAGTTTGATTTTTTATCTTCATGTAAGGCATTAGTGACATCTGGTGAATTACATTCAAGGTGATGATTTTCTATTAAGGGCAGATTCAGGACTCCAAATGGATAGGTTGTGTGCACCATTCAAAAGTAGCCTCTGGTCTCCGGGTGGCATTTCTGGAACTCGGGTGCCATCTACTGGCCATACGGGATGGATAATATTTTTTTTCTCCACCAAGGAAATCTTTTCCTTCGGATTTTTTTCAGTGTCAACTCAGTTCTACAAGAAACAAGATACCAGCTAGATACCTTGGAAAGGAAATAAACGAAACAAGCAAACTTTTTTTTTCTTTTCTGTAGCTTCTTTTCATACTAGTCAAAATGGTATGGGGCTCTAATGAAGTTAATTTGGCAATATGGCAATTATAAAGTAAAAGAGAAGAGATAGATATATAATAAAAATCCATAGCAAACACAACAAAACCACTTCATTATCTCAGCCCAAAGTATGATTTCAGTAAAACAGATGGGAGTTTGTAGGTTAAAAAGAGTTACTAGGCCTTATTTTCTCAACTGTTATAGAAAAAAAAAAAAACCATGCCCACACACTTTAAAAAAATGCCTCCTGGCCTAAAAATAATATATAATATATTCAATATATTTTTAAAATCTAAACTTAGGGTGGCGGGGAGGGTTTGAAATAAAATAAAATGACTTTTCCTTGCATTCCATGGAGCAGAACATAAATAATAGTACTGATAATTTCAAAGAGTTAAATAAATCTATTGCATATTATTACGTAGGAAGAAGCTCATTCCGATAAAAGCATAACAAATTGAAATGGAGGAAAATAGAAGGAGCAGAAGGGAAAAGGGAAGAGAAAGAAAGAGATTGAAAATCAGATTTTAAAAATCCAAAAGAGCAGTTTGATAGAAAAAAATGCAGATTGTTATTTTGTTATATTCTATTAACATCACAATAGATTGTACTGGTATTAATAAAACAACATGGACTTAACGGGAAGCAAGGGTATGAACAGGGTATAGCTCAAGTTTTTAAAATTCAAGCTTTTGTATCTTCTAATATATATATTTTTTTCAAAATGTTTTATTAGGAAAGCTATACCAGACGCATCACTGTACAATGATTAAACATTACCTTTACAATTGATATTTACTTGAAAGTACAGAATAAATATATGCACATTTGTATTTGTGTCTCTGTGTGAAAGAGTGTGTGTGAGAGCAAGGGAAGAGAAAAAAGAAAGAACATTAAAAGTGTTTCTTCTAAGAAATATTTGTGATTGGTATTTGTGATTATTTTTCCCCCACCTGTACACTTATTATGTTGGAGTCTCAATTAGAAGTGTGGCTGCTATTGAATAGAGCAGTAATAAACTTTTAAAATAATAATAATAATAATAATGGAACTGACCTTTTCTTCCCATAGGAATGCCACAAAACAGACCAAGAGCTGGAAAGCTTGGCTTCAAATAATATTTTTAGGCTAGCAATGTCTCTGATCTCCCTTACACAACTTTTCTTTTTATGTGGAAAAATGGAGGGAGAGTGGGCACCTTGCAGTATAATGGCAAAGGAAGCGGATTGAAGAAGGCTGGGAATAGAAAGTTAAGACTGAGATTGGGGACTTGTGTGTGCATGTAGGAGAAAAAGGAAAGAAGAGAACGAAAAACATTAATAGAGGACAACTCCACCCTCCCAAAAAAGCAGTTTCCAGACATGCAGCTAACTGCATTTTTGCTGTTATTCTTCCCACTTTTGTATTCTTTTAAATAAATGTACATAAACTGTGCCATGATAAAACGGGGGAGCTGAAGATGTTTTCTTGCGTCCACCTCCCACTGTTCAAATGTAAAAAATAGAATGGAAAGGTTTGTGTTTCTATAGTATTTTGTTTCTTAAAAGAAAGAGTGCAGGAGAGAGAGAGAGAGAGAGAGAGAGAGAGAGAGAGAGAGAGAGAGAGAGAGAGAGAGAGAGAGAGAGAGAAGAAGGAGAAAGAGGGGGAGGATAGTACACACAGAATTTTACTTTGTCAGGATCAAGACAAAGTTCCCCCATGATGCTAATTAATAATAATATTCTTATATCTTAGACAACATGGCACAGTCAAAGTCTCAGGTTTTTGTTTTTCAATATAAAAAAATAATGATTGATTAGCATCTGCTGGCAAAAGTCTGCAAAGGCACTTTTATCAATTAATGATCATCTGAGTTAGGCCCTTCCTCCAAACCAACAACTGGCAGGGGGGAAGCACAGAGCTGTATCTTCTGGTATCAGCATGCGGTGGTCAGGGGAGGAAAGGGAGAGGAGCAGATGTGATGTGAGGGTGCTCTGGGGCTGGGAAGGGAGTGGGATATGCTGGAATTTGGCTGTAAAAAGCTAGATGTTTTTCTCAAAACCTATAAGTGGTCTTCTCCAGGACTTCGAGGTAATCCGGCTTGGTTTGGAGTTTGGCCCTTAACTCGAGGTATTCACTTTGGGGGGGTTGATGATGTTCTGGGAAGCCCTTACCAGCTGAGAAGAGAAGAGTTTCTTTCAGTCTGGCATCCTGTTGTAGGTCTGGATATTGCATGCCAGGGGGGTGCACGTGCAGTTCCTTTAATTTGGGCACTGTGCCATATAGGCAGTCCACAAAGCCCACTGAGCATGGAGGGACCAATGGGGGCCTCTCCCTATTGTCTAGAACGGCACCAGTAGGAGGGAAGAGTACTACCCCACCATTCTTCTCATGGTGGAAGACAGGCGGCACCAGGGCTAGCTCCCCCAAGAGAGGAATCCCCACACCAATTCCTCCTCCAGATGGCTGAGGGTGTGGGTGATGATTGGTTGTCATTATGGTGTTGAGCTGCGAGCTGGACACTGCCACATTCCATTCCTTCTCCTTCTCCAGCAAGGTCCTATAGCAGCTACTGTTCCCACTCTCCTTAGTGGGGTCAACAAACTGTTCCCCAACACAGGTACTACCTCCATTGCCACCTCCTAGAAGTACATCCCCAGGTTGCCCAGATTCTCCTGCTATAACTTCATCTTCTTCGCGCGGCTTGTAGATGGGATTGTTGCACATCTGGGTTACCGGATGTGGGATGTAATCATAAACATGACCCATAGGGGGTGCCTTCTCTGGGGATGCACTCATTCCACCACCACCTCCTCCACTGCCTCCCTCCTCAAAGAGATGATGACATTGCATCTGGATTCCCGTTAAGTCAAGGGCTTCCTGCCGCTGTTTGTTCCGGAAAGGAAGCTTCTTGCGCCGTCGGCGTAAGACAAAGGCAAACAAGCCTGCAGCAATGAAGACTGCAGAGAAAAACAGCACAAGTAGACTAAGGATGAGCACAGAGAGTGGTACTGGCCCTCCTCCAGCTGGGGGTAGCTCATAGGGAGAGGGACTGGTAGGACTTGGGTGACCTGATGGTGGTGGGGCTGGCGAAGCAGTGGCAACATGTAACATTTCTGGACACAGCACCTCCAACTCCACAGAGCGGACATCTCTGTTAGTAAGGTTCTCTGGGCTGGCACAAAGGACATCCCCCACCACAATGACAGAACTGATCGTCTCGATCCACTGCTTGAGAGGCACCAGATCACATGTGCAATCCCAAGGATTGAGCTTCAGGTCAATCTGGACAATGGCATTAAGGTGCTCCAATACACCAGCCACAGGCAGGTACAGGAATTTGTTGTTCCGCAGGTTGAGTCTGGCCAAGGATGTGCCAGCAAAGGCATCAGTAGGCAGGGTCCTCAGGAGATTGTCATTGAGGAAGAGTAGCTTCAGGTTAGGCATGAGACTGAAGGCGGCAGGTTGGATCTCCCTGATCTGATTGTACTCAAAGTACAAATAATGCAAGCACTGCAGGCCTCTGAACATGCCTGGGGTCAATCTCTCAATGTCATTGCCATTCAAGTATAGGCTTTTCAGATTAGGCAAGTTAATAAAAGCCCCATCCTGCACATACGAGATCCGATTGTTCCCAAGATGCAGAAGATCCAAGGAAGAGAAATTCCAGAAATCTGAACGGTAAATTTTTTGTATCAAATTCCCGCTCAGATAGAGTTTCTTGGCATTGATGGGCCTGGGTAGGAGCTCAGAAATATTGTGGAACCCTCTTTCCTTGCAGTTGACAGTTAGGCCCAAATCATTGATGTGCAAACTACAAGAGCAGCCGGTAGGACATATGATGGGTATAGGTGGCCTCGTCTGGTATGCAGCAATCGGAGGCTGGTTGGGTGCAGGGTATAGGCCTCGAGGTGTAGGTGGTGGTTTGGGAGCCCTGGGCTGTTTTGTTGGCTTGGGCTGCTTAATGGATGTTTTATATTCAACAGAGGAAGCAGTGAAATGGAAGGAGGACAACATGGAAGAAGGTTTAGTAGGCCAAGCATGTTCCTTGCTTGAGGGTAACTGAGGGACACCAACGCTGACAAGTTCTGAGTCAGACAACATGGAGCAGAGTTTGTTTCTTTTGATTTCCCTCAAGTCCTTGCCATGGAAGTGAAAGGGGGTCTCACATGTAATGTCTCCCACAAGGGCAGTATACGGAATACGCTCCAGCCAGCTCTTCAGTTGAACTATTTCACAAGTACAGTTCCAAGGGTTCTCTTCCAACTGAATCTCCATCAAGCTCCTACCAATGTGGTCCAGCATCCCTCGATAGGAAAGCACCTTCAACCTATTCCCACGCAAGTCCAAGTGAGTCAGAGACACCGACTTAAACAAATTGGTCGGAAGCATGGGAATTAGATTGTCATTTAAGATCAGGACCCGGAGTTTACTCAGGTTTCGAAATGCCCCACTTTCAATTCGCTTAATAACATTGTAATCTGCCTGCAGATATTCCAGACTCTCTAATCCCAGGAAAGTATCATTTCGGAAAACGTCCAGTTTATTCTCATGCAGATACAGTCGCTTCAGAATTTTGAGCCCATTAAAGGCCCCCGTCTGAATGTCTTGCAGTGCGTTGTTGCCAAGGTTAATAGAAACAGCATTGTTCAAGTGGAGAAAACTGTTTGTGTATAATCTTCTCATGGAGTTTCTCTGCAGGTAAAGTTTGAAAGGTCTTGACCATGATTCCGTTATCTGGCTAATATTTATAAATCCCTTGTTGTCGCAGTGTATATGAAAAAGGCTTTCTTTGACTTCACAGTAACAAGGATCAAAGCAAGGTTCCTCAATTTCATCTGAATCCTCAATCAAAGGAATGGGGGTAGTCCATGCTACTGCAATTGTGCTTAGAAGGGTAATCCACAGCATCCTTCTCTGACGGGGTGGATCTTCCATCGAAGGCTTCATGGTTCGGATGGATTACAAGACTGTAATGAGAATCAACAACACAAAGGGATTACAACCTATCAGCATTTCTTTTAAAAATACATTTTCAAGCAATCTGACGAAGGGGTGAGGGAGAGAAGGAATGAGTTTGCAGGGATTCCTATCTTCATCACAAAAGAGGAAACAACAACAACAATCTAGCAGCACAATTCATATTTACTTACTTTCTTACTCAAGTGATTTAATCAGGCAGTGGCCTTCTTTCCTTTCCTAGCCTGTCCACTCATCTTTATCTAATGTTGTTTAGTACCTAACACCATAATGAGGAAGAAAATGAAGGCTGTAAGGCCCGTGTTATAAATGATCTAGAAACATTTTTTTCCCCAAAAAAACGACACAATGTTCAGGAAGCAGATGATGTGCACAAGCTCAGCCTCATATTTGCATTAATTAGAAATGAAAAGATGCAGCTGAAGAGATTCTTCCCCCCCTTTTTAATCTGTATACGGATAGTCAATTAAGGGTACAGGTTATCACCATAAGCAATAAGTAAACATGCACTTAACTTTCAAGGGAGGGGATCCCACCAGGGGAATATCCAATTTTATCTAACACCACAACATACAATACTGAAGAAAACGGGGACAAACAAGTTTCCAATACCTCTGATTCCTATAGAAATGCTTGCGTCTGGAATTAGAAACTAAATACTGTACTCAGCAGCAATGCCAGGCTCAAAACAAGAAGAAAATTAAGGCTCTGCTCTTCCCAGTGCCCAAAACCAAATTAACATAACTGGGATATAGTACTAGACTTTTTTTTTTTTTTAAAAAAAAAGCATGCTCCATATTCATCATTTCAGCTGATTAAAGCATTTAGAGATTATTAATCTTTGGAAAGAACCGGCTGTACCATCTACAGATCCAAGTTAAAGGCTAAGCAATGAAAAGGCTGATAGGGAGATTGTCTGGCTGCACATTGAAAGGGGTGGTGGTGGGGATACTTTGAATGATGATGGCTTATGCCCAGAAGTCTGCCCAGGGGTGATCCAACAAGGGAAAGGAGGAATGGAGGAAGACTGAAACTTGGGAGGAGATCAAAGACTTTTGCATTAACCGCAAGCAAAATAACCATCCCTTTCTAGTAAAAGCCAGCTTCCATCACCACCACACACATACAAGAATCAACTTAAAAGAGGCTTACCAGAACACAATGACCTACACAGGTTTCTCAGCTTGTCTTTGTTTCCTGAATTCCTTCTTCCACCCACCCCCTTTCCATTCCAATACAGAAGAATAGATCACTGTTAAAGACTAAGCATCCTGACAGTGGTTGGGAAGGGGGGGGGGCTTCGCTGCCCTCCAGCTACTGCCCATTCAAAGGTTTGCCAAGAGTCCTGGTATTTAGTGAGATACCCTGGAAGCAAAAGAGAGATGGATTCTCTCACACTCCCTCCATGCAGGAGAAGACACTTCAATTCCTCCCTCCCGATAAATAAAGCGGGGGGGGGGGGGGGAGGAGAGAGAAACCTTCACGGTAAAAGGTCATATTTAGGAAGAAACACTGGGAGGGGAGGAGTTAGCGGGATTCACATTAGGAAAGAAAGCATAGGATCCATGTGGAAATGAAGGAAATTGGGGAGCCCCGGAGGAAGAGAATATACGAATAGGGAGGGGGAGGGGGGAAGGAAAGGGACTTCTCAGTTCAGCATTTTCATTTCACTCTTTGCCTAGACAAGCAAGTAAAGTGGCTTCTTCTTCTTCTTCTTCTTCTTCTTATTATTATTATTATTATTATTATTATTATTATTATTATTATTTCTCTTCTATGTTTTTTTTTTAAAGATGTTTGATCCAGGCACACATGGGGGATGGGGAGGAAGAGAGAAAGAGAGAGAAAGAGAGAAGGAGATCCAGAAAACAAAAAGGAAAAAGGAAAAAGGCTTCTACTTACCGGGCTTGAAGGAGAGAGATTTTACCACATTGGGAGAGCAGAAAAAAAAAAGAGGGAGGGAAAAATATACCCTGGAAAATCTTACTTTAGAAAAATAAAGGAGGGAAAAAAAAAAAAAAACCTCTCAAAATGACATATATGCAGAGAATGTCCTCGGCTCTTTTTTTTTTTTTTAAAGTTGCAAAAATAAATAAATAAAGGATTGCTGGTTTCTCTTTCTCTCTGCTCTGATTCTATACTCTAGCTTGGGAGCTGAAGCAAAAGGGAAGGTGGGGGGGGGGGTGAGCAAGCACAGATGAGACGTGGTAGGAATGCAATGAGCCTCTTTAGGATGCAGAGATACTGTTTGGCACAGTCAATGGAGGAGGGAGGAGAAGGGGGCTGCTGCAGGCTTCCCAGTTTCTGCTCTTGCTAGGCTGCCTGGGCTGGGTATCACCAGCCCACATCTTTGGGGAAAGAAACAGAAGGAAGGGTCTGGGGTGGGGTGTGTGGGAAACCAACCAAGGAAGGGAAGAAGAGCTTCTCCCCTGAGCTCTGGATTCCTCTACGGATCTTATTGCCTCCGGATCGGTTTTCCCCACCATGTACTGGAGCTTCAGGAAGACGCACTTGGCACCCAATCGGGAGCACGCATCTGGGAAGTCCTGCCTGACTGTACAGGGTTTTCTCCCTTCTTCTGTAAAGAGGAGGACTGGGATGAAGAAAATATATCTATTCTTCATCTAGATATCTAGCTAGGAAGAGGTCAGAAGTGGGGGAACTCTGAGATGACGGGGGAGGCTGGGACTGAAATGCCAGAATGGATTTGAGCAGGAGGTGGTCCCTGCCCTCATTTCCCCTGAAAAATAATCTATTTGGGGGTGGGTGGGATGAATAGGGAAGCCCCTTGGGCTCTCAAACATTCAGATTCCACCAAATTCTTGAGAGTAGCAGACCTTAAGGCAAGGTATGGAATTATCTTACATTCAGGCAGGAACGATTCTTAGATTCTCTGCAGTTCTCCATCAAACCTAAATCTGTCCCGGGAGAAGAAAATACAAGAGGAGCTTTGTGTCTGTTTGTGTGTGTCTAGATATGTGTGTCTAAACAAGGACCTTTTTTCTTCCCTTACTTTTTCTTATTCTTCTCATCCTCCCTCCCCCCCGCTTTCCCTCTCCATTGCACTAGAAAGTCTTTGCTCTCCCTTCCAACAGGCTATTAAAAAACACACAACCCTCTAGAACGAAGGGTTGAGTGACAAGGGACCTCTTTCTCCCTTTCTGCCCAAATGGAAATAATAGACAAATTTAAGGGCTTGCTGCCCTTCCTCTTATCAAGGTATTTGCTTTCCCCTTTCTCCCCTTTTTACAATTCTTCCCTGAAATCTACCCCTGAGAATAGGCTGCATGGTGAAAAAAAAAAAGAAAAGGGAAAGGTCTAAGCAAATTTTCTGTCTGAATGCAAGAAGATGACAACAAAGACCAGGAGCCTGGAAGGTAAAAGAACATTCAGCCTGTGTAGAATATAGGGGGGCAAGAAACAAGGGAGGTGGCAAATGATGTTTACTCAAGACAATCCAAAAGAAGGTTTGCTGGTATAAGAATCTCCTCTGACCAATTCAGCAAATGGAGTTGATGCTCAGTTGTTGTTGCTTTTTAACCCAGGATCAGTTCCACCCTCAAGTTCTGTGAAAGCTGAGATTGTGATAGTCCATTGCGTGGCTTCCAAAACTGCCCACCTTCCTGGCCTGCCTAAAATTCTCCCCAGGTGGAAACCACAAACTTTATATTCACCAATTGCTCTCGTAAATCGACTTCATTTAGAGCAAATAGAAATATCATTGTTTATCAAATCGGTTTCAGTCAGGGAGGAAGGGGCCTTGTCAGCAAAATCCAGTTGCAGACTACAAAATGGATTTGGATGGTTGCTTCCTGCATTCCCCCTTGAAGCGGGGTAGAGGGAGGGGGCGGTGAGGCTGGCAGGTGGCAGTGTCATTGGATCCCTTGGGAAACCTCCCCCCCAACTCTATTTCTGCTCTCCCTATCACACTCAAAAGACCTGGGATTGTTAAGAACCATTTGAATGGTAGGTTGAGTGATGGGTTCAAAATCAGACAGGCTTGCAAGGAATGAGAGGCTCATGTGCCTGAATTATTCTCTTAGAAGGCCCCCACAAGGGTTACCCCCCCCCCCCCATGTGTGTCTGTCCCACCCCTCACACTTTAAATAGCTCCATAGGCAGTTGCAGCAACAGCCACCCTGTTACCTTGTCCTCTGGCACCATGGAAGTGTTCCTTACTTGTGGAGGAAAAAGCAGTGTGGTCCCTTATTGCTTAAAATGCAATGGACAGAAATCAGGGGTTTAAAAGGCAGGGATTTATGCGATTTCTTGGAGAGCTTGGGGAAAGGAGATAGATGGAGCGGTGGTGGTGGGAAGGACCTTAGAAATGAAATGGAGGAAAATTGGCCGGAGGCAGTACATACCACAGCTCTTTTCCTGCACGAACAGGTCTGGGGAAATCCTTCCTTGCAATGCAACCAGAGCAAAAAAGAAAAAAAGAAAGATGTACCTGTATCCCATTTTACTCGCGCGCTGTTTCCCAGGCATGCAGATACAAACAATCGCCCGGGGCAAATATATATATATATATATATATATATATATATATATATATATATATAATGCTGCAATCGAGCTTCAGTCGGTCGCCAGATCTACGGACAAAGAGCAAAGAAGGAAGGGCACCGAATACCTAAGGTGATCCGCGCAGGATGGGCTGTCTGGATATCGGTAGATCGTCCCCGGTGGCGCGGCTTTGCCGACGGAAGGACGGTCGCGTTTTCCTCCTCTTCTTCAGGAATCTGCTTGGCAACTTCCATCCTGGGCCGAAACGCAACCTGGCCAACTTCAGCCCTGCTGGCACGCCGCCGCCGCTGCCTTCATATGCCTCCCCTGCCCCCAGCCAAGCGCGCCCGGTTCCTGATTGTAATCCGTCCCCGCGAGCTCCTTTTCCCGCCTCCCTCTCCCCCTTTGCAAGTTGGCCCGAGGAGAGACGGGGAGCAGCGGCGAGGAAATGCTGGGCACGAGCGATCGCCTGGAGGAGGAAGAGAGCGCTGGATGCAAATCAGTCAAGCGGGTCATGGCGCCTTGGCAAAAAAACGCAGCTCGCCGGACGCGCCGCGCCTCGCCTCGCCTCGCCTTCTGCCTTTCCCACCGCTGCGTTGGCAGCCCGCTTCCAAGGACGAGCGCGTGGCTCCCGCCGCGGCGGCCCCGATGGAAGAGGCGAGCCAATAGCTCGATCCCGACCGTTGAATCGCCGGATGCATTGAGGATGCTCCTTGCCTTCACTTCTCTCTTTCGGGGAGGGGAAACTCGGCCTGAAGGTTTCCGGAATCTGAGGGAGGAGGGGGCATTTCAGCTCGCCCGGCTCAGCTGTATCCTTTTTTTTTTTCTTCCCTGTCTGAGGCAAAAAAACAAACCAAAACCTGGTATTAGTGGGAGGGTCTGCCGTGCCACAGTGATGGGGACTGAGCAAAAGAAGGAGGCAAAAGCTGGATCCGGTCAGCTTCTTATCCCAGTCTCTAGCAGAGCAGCAGCGAAATGGCTTTCGGGGGTGGGGTGGGGCGGAGGGGGGGAAAGGAGAGAGCTTTTTTTTTTTTTTTTTGCCGACGCTTGTAAAAAACTGGGCTGGCGACAGAAAGCGGAGGAAGCCAAGAGAGCTTTGCAGCTTGGACCATCTGCTGGAATCTAGTTGCGGGGGACCATCCCACCTGCACTTCGTTTGGAGTAAGTCTCGCCTAACTTAATAAGACTAATTTGAGGAAACCAGGCGTCCTGAGGGAAAGGAGCTGAGTGGAGGGCGCACTCTTGTCATGTTCAGGTCCACCGTCATGGTGGAAGATGGGAGGGCTCTTGAGGGGAAGAGGGACATGACTTTTCACCTGGCAACCAAAGCCACTAGAGAAGGTTCATTCACATGATGGCAGGCAGTAAGGACCCTCCCACATGGCCACAACACACACACACACACACACACACACACACACACACAGAGTGGGACCTTATCTGCATTGCACTTGGAGCATTGACTTTCTTCCAAGGAGGGTGAACATCAGAGGAAGTGGTCTTCTACATAGACCTAGGTCAGTATATCTACACTAAATATCAGTGGGGCTCTGAAGGCTTAGAGTAGGAATTTCCCCATCTCTCCCTAGAGATGACAAGGATTGAAATAAGTGTACGCCTCATATTTGTTGCTGACTTTCAGCACACTTTGCATGCAGCATGTAACGGTTGTTGATGGTGTTCTTGTTCTGTAGATGATCTCCTGCTTTTCCTCCTGGAGCTAACAAGATAGCACTTTCTTATCCCGTTTTTTACCATCACAGCTCTGGGAGGTAGGCTGGCTTGAAAGATAGTGGTTGCCAGCCACTGAAACATAATGAAGGTAGTTTTGTTCCCTACCTAAAGCAAACTTAGTCAGGATGCTTTCTTTCAGGCTGCCCAGCAAGCAGGGTGTTCAGTCTAATCTTCTTTGGCATGGCCCATCCCATAAGGATTTTCTCCAGGAGTTATTCCTTCCAACCAGAGTACAAAACAGTATCTACAGGTCTTAATAAGAATTATTCCATTGCAAGCTCAGTATTTGCCCTTTAGCCATACTTTTGTGTCACAGCTGTGAATATATGCTAGTACTTAACGCACTAAAGTGAAAGTGTTTATATGCACAGTCTTTTTCAGGTAGACCATTAGTGATGGTCCATTGCTGGGAGCATCAGGCAAGTGTCAAAATGATCAATTTCAACTGTATGCTTTAAGAGAAAGTGACAATCTCAGTTACTGTGACAGATCTGGATTAGATTAAATATAAAAACAATACAAGGTTTTGGTTTACAGTATCCCCTGCCCCTATATAGTTTATTGGATCTGTTTTTTGAGCTGAATTTGGAAAAGAAGATCAGCAATAGATTGATTCAGCAATGATTGTCAATATGAGAATAATATGAAAATGGAAAGCTTTTTTTTTATTATTCCAAGGATATCATTGGCATTTCACTGATGTATCAAGACCTACACCCCAAAAAGTGCATGGAAAAGAGATGAGAAATAGGCAGAGCCAACAGAGTGAAAACATACATTTGATTTAATTTAGATGTCATTTTAAATAGGATACAGATTATTGTAATTATTTTCCTGTTGTATTATTCTTCTTGTATTATTATTTGTATCAGAAACTAGAATTTTATGGCAACTATTTTGCATTACAGGTTTGATGGCTAAGACTGGGTTTCCTCTTTCAGTGAAGCCTTGTTTCTTTTCTGGACAGGGGTTGTGCACCTGAATTCTTAGTAGAACATTGCAGCTGCTTAGTTCATTTGCATTTGAAAGTAGCTAAGATCTCTGAGGGCTGAATTCTGATCCTCTGTTTTAATTCATGTGATGCATTTGAGAGAAGATCCTTAGCTTGAAAATGGGTGCTTGAAAATGGGTGCTTGGGGACTGAATTGGATCCAGGAAGCCAGTTGCTTATCCCAAATAAAACACCATTTTCTGTTGTATGAATATGCAACAAGGACATCCCAGATGATGGGTGAGGAATGAAGGACATCTTTCTCCGCATATTTTTCCTTAATAGTCCTATATATAGGATTATTCCTATATAGTTCCTTTTTTTAAAAAAAAAAAGTAAAATGTCTGAATTGGGTCTCTCTGGAGAAAGGGAAGAGACTTGGGGGGAAGTTACAAAATATAGGATCCATGTAAGCACGTTCTTTAGGATCCTAAAATGTTTAAAACACTGTTCATGGACTAGTTTCTTTACTGAAGTCACTATTAGAAATATAGTAATCATAAATACTGGGATTTTTCAATTTAATCTTTCTTTCTTTCTTTTTTTTTAAAGGCAATTTGCTCCACAGCCTAGATTATTCATCTGACTTTGTTGCTGAGGCTTTAAAACTACTGATTGTTTATAGCTAGTCCTTTTATATGCATTGCTGTTTGTTGCTTTGAAATGCACTGGACCCTGCAGATTTTAAATCTAGATCTATGCATTGGTTTTTCCAGGAAATAAAACAATACTGTTGCTAAGACCATTTAAATGTTTAGGGAACCAGATTAACCATTCTATGTCCTATGGGGCATTTTATTTGAAAATAGAGAGCCTCTATTTTTTTTTTAATCCTCTCTCCCTTGTGAAGATTCAAGCCACTGCCCAGGCTTGGACACAAACAAGGGCAGGGATGCTGATAAGGAAGTGCCCCTTTCTAAGAATCTTATTTGAGCATTACATTTCTACAGAGGCTTTCCATAAGGCTTACCACACCCCTCTGGAGTGCAGTCATTTTTAACCTTCCATCTTAAACTGTCAGATGAAATCTAATAGGACTTCTCCCTACATTCCTTTTCAAACTGGAACCAGGGAGAGAAAGGTTGGAGTGAAGAAGCTACAGCCACTGTACTGAGAAAAAAAATAAAGCAACTAAAGAAGAGAAAGAGTCACTGTAGGGCTGGCATCTAGTGAGTGGCAAAGCTTCTGCTGAAGCCTGGAGATTGGCAAAGAGCCCACGATTGCAACAGTGCAACCACCATTAGAACAGAGGCTTCTAGAAGTCCAGCAGTAATGTGGGATAATAATGTGTCATGTTGCCTGCTTGTTTTAATAATATAAAATGGTCCATGTGGCATAGCATTTGTTTTTTATTCAAAGGTACAATCAAACAGGTAAACTAGAAAAAGAAAGTGAAGAAATGAAAATAGAAACAAAAAGAAAACCAAAAAAATAAGAATAAAGAAAAAGAAAAGAAACATAAAGAAATAATTTCCCCTTTATCACAATAATTTTAGTAATTTATCACTTTTTCTTAAAATGCAAGTGATCTCTTCCCATATCTATACTTTTACCTATATACAAACCCTTAAAGCTTTTTGTTCAGTCCTGATCAGCAAAGTCCATTAAGGGTTACCAGAGATAAGAATGTCCCTGTTTAAACTTTGATCAAATAAACCAATTCTATATTCCTTTCTTTTACTTTTAGCAATATTGTTCTTTAGTCCCTTGGAATAATGGCATACTATAGAACTTGATTTAAAAAAAATATTTAAACCTTTTCACAAACTTCTTCAAGACTTTAACAAACCTCTTGCAAACCCAATACAGCACAATTATTCAAATTACTCTCTCTTTTTGTTGTTGTTACTTGTATATGCCTTGTAATTGTCCAGGGTAACATTTCTTATAGGATTCTTGTAGTCTTGTCATTTTAAAATCCACTTTCAGATAAGTTCCACCTGTCAGGTAAAACTTGTATCTCTTTCATAATGTCTTTGAAACATAATCTATATATACTGTATATAGAGGCAGACTTTTTAAAAATTAACTTCTAGGTTCATTGTTCAAAACTATCTTTCAGTATATGCAATATTAAAATATTTTGTTTCATTCTGTATTAATAGTCCAATTTAACTGTTCTTTAACTGTGACCTTTAGTTCCTCCTGATTCACTCTACTGTTTAACCTGCAAAGTCTGATCCTATCATCTTTTTTTTTAAAAAGAGAATTCATTTCTCTTATTTTAAAAAGATTTTCCCACAAAAGGATTGTTATAATTAATTCCAAAATCTTATTTCAAATCCATCTGGATCCTAAGTCCATTTATAGATTTCCAAAATCAAGTTCTAATCACCCTTTTGCTGTTTATTGCAAAAGAAAATAATTAAGTCATTAAACTTGTATTTAAAGAAAACTCACTTAGTACTATAAAACTTGTCGATCCAAAGGTTCCCAATAGCTGGAAAGCAGTTAA